CTCTGGGGAGACCCCCCTGCAGTGCTGCCTCCAGCTCGGGGGGTCCCACCAGCAGAAGGAGACGGAGCTGTTGGAGCGGGGACCGAGGAGGCCCCGGAGATGCTGGGAGGGCTGGAGCCCCTCTGCTGGGAGGACAGGCTGGGAGAGTTGGGGGGGTTCAGCCTGGAGAGGAGAAGGAGAAAAAGGGGAGACCTCAGAGCCCCTTCCAGTGCCTAAAGGGGCTCCAGGAGAGCTGGGGAGGGACTCCTGGTCAGGGAGGGGAGTGATGGGATGAGGGGGAATGGTTTTACACTGAAAGAGGGGAGATTGAGATATTAGGAAGAAATGTTTCCCTGTGCGGGTGGTGAGCCCCTGGGGCAGGTTGCCCCGAGAAGCTGTGGCTGCCCCATCCCTGGAGGTGTTCAAGGCCAGGTTGGACGGGGCTTGGAGCAACCTGGGCTGGGGGGAGGTGTCCCTGCCCAGGGCAGGGGGTGGCACTGGGTGGGCTTCAAGGTCCCTTCCCACCCAAACCATTCTGTGATTCTGTGATGATCATGCTATGGATCTTTACATGGATAGAGCAGATTTTGCAGTTTGAATTCCTTTGGTTCACTTAAGTCCAGTTTTAGCAGTAGAAAGTATTCGTTATTTAGAATGAAGTGGTTCCGTAGGGCAGTAGTCCTTCTCGGAACGCCATGCATTCGGGTGGATTCAGGCGATTCTCTCTCTCTTTCTCTGCATTCAGCTCCTGTCCCGAAGCTGCAGATGTGCCGAGGGGGGAGGGTGCAGGAGAGGCTGTTCCGGAGCAGAGCGATGCAGAGCAGCCCATGGAGCGTGAAAGGTGCGTTTTCTGTCCACTACTTGATTTTTGAGTCTCCCTAGAGAGACTCAACACATGTCCTCAATGGTGCTTCTCCACAGCAACCACCATGTCTGCCCCATCTGCGAGAACTGGCTGCGCGCCCACCTCGGCCAGTGGGAGAAGTGTCCTGTGGCGCCCGGGGAGCATCTGGGGGGTCCCCGTCGGCGGGACGAGGGGTGAGTGCGGTGCAGCCGGGGTGGGCAGCTGCTCCCAGCAGCGGGCACCACAGCTGGGGGTCCTCAAAACCAGGAGTTAATGGCTTAACTTAAAATAAAAAAAAATGACGGGGGCGCGTAAGTGTTGGTTCCACTTGCTCATAGCTCCATACGGGGGCAAAGCGTGGTGCCTGCTGGTGAGCAGAGAGAGGTGAAACCACTGTGAGGTTTGTTTGGACAACGCTCGTGCGGTTTCTCTGGGTGTCTCCGAATCAGCTTGTGCTCCTCAGCTGTCCTCACTCGGCTCAGACTCGGGTCTTCTTCGGCCCGTGATGGAGCTCTGGTTTGAGTTAAGCAGCAAAGAGCCCGAGTGCCGTAAGAGACCCCGTCCCTTCTGTTCACGGTGCTGCCAAGTGCTTTTTCCACCTCTACGCACAGTTTGTTTGGGACAGAGCCGCGATGACATGAGCAAAGGGACGCTGTACGCTCGCTTACCTTTTGACACTTCCCCGTGTGAGTTTTGCGCTCTCTCCAGCCCACAAAGCTTCCTTAACAGTCAGCACTGACAGAGGCAAATTCAAATAAATATTTGGTTAAAATAAACATGCTTTGAGCTGTGCTCCTGCCTGCCTTACCTTTTGCAAGCAGAAACTTCCTTTTACCGCTTATTTATTTCACGCTGTTCCTGCGAGCGCTTGTTCCGCTTGCTGTTGGCCCTAACCCTGGAGGAGCCGTTCCACTTCTGCACTCATCAGTCGCTCCGTGTTTGAGTTTAAAAAGTTAATATCTTTGACGCTGTTAATGAAGCTATCTTTCGTGGGTGCCGGAGCCTGTGCGGCGTGGCTGGGCGGGCAGCGGTTCCCGACATGAACCCGGCGGGGCTCACCCTTGGCTCTCTCCCCACAGCCCGCCAGGTCCCGTCTGCGCTCCCTGCGCCGACCGGCTGCACCTCTCCCTTGTCCACAGCGACACGGCACGCTGCCCCGTGTGTCCCCTGGCCGGGGAGGGGACCCCGGCTCACCTCGTCCCCCGCCAGACCCCTGGCTGCCACGTCTGCCCCGTCTGCGCGGCGCCCGCCCACGCGCACCTCTGCCAGCGCTGGTGTTGGGCACCCGACGGTAGGGACCTGTGCGGGGACACCCAAAACACCCTTCGGGTCACCGCGACTAGTGGCCAAAGTGCCATAAACCGGCGGCTGCAAAGGTCGTTCCTCCCAAAGCCCTGGGCTGCAGCACCCTAATTAACTGCTCGTTTCCCTGTTGCAGGATTAATGCCGACGGCTGCAGCACCCTAAGCGGCACGAAGGCGGTCGGAGAGAAGGGGGAGTCGCTACACTAATTCCTGATATTGGCAGGAACGAAAGTTTTAAGTGCAATAAGGCAACCTGAGGTCAAGCGTCTGACTTCACAACCGGGAATTTCGTTGTGAAGAAGCAGGAAAATCAAACATACTTCAAATTCAGCTCCATGTTGGTTTAATGCCTACTTTTTTTTTGGTTTATTTTAGTATGGAAAAAAAACCTATTTTTGCAGCTCTTAAAGTGAGGTTTTCAAAATTCAGTAGACGTTTCTTTCCACTAGGAAAATAATTTCATGGTAAACACCCTATTTTCGCACACTCTTGCAATTTACTTGTATTTTTTAAACTACTTTTTTACTGAGGTTCATTTACTAGTGTGCAGATACGAGTGCGAAAATAACAGTATTTATAATAAAACTCTTTTGTAAATTAAAGGAATATAAAATAAGCAATTCTAGTATCCTGGCTTGGGGTGGTTTTTTTTCCTATTTACTAATCAAACCTTTAGCACTGTAAATGATTTTGCAGTCTCATTCTTTGCCGGATGTAATCAACTGCACACAAAAAAGCTGCTGCTCAGATAATTGCTGCTCTCGTGTCGCGCTGTCGCCCGTAGCAGCGTGCCTGGCCTTTCCTGGGAATCGCGGTGACGGAGGCAAGGCGGCACCGCTGCTGGACCGGGGCCCATTTCCACCCCCACGGCACCAGGGCGGTATCGGGGAAGGTGTGCGCTCCTCTCCAGGTATAACCTTCCCGTGGCCGACCCCGCGTATTCCTGCGCTGGTCGTGTTCTCTACCCCAAACACCAGGCTGCAGCTCCAGCAAGGCGCTCGGAGGATTAAACTAACTGCTCCCCGCTTGGTGTTTGCTGGCTTGTACTCCGTGTTTTGTGTTGACATGGGTCAAAATTAACAGTACTAACACAGAAGCTGTACAAATTGCCTTTTTGGTTTATTGGTTTTTGCCGAGAGATGGAGTTTATTGGTGTTGTGCCACAAGACAGGCTGTGCAACAGTAGGACAGAAAGGTGCCGTGCGGTTACATGATTCTGCTATTGTATTTGTTATCGAACTGGGACACAGCACATTTTTGTGGGCTTGCGCTGGTGGGTGCAATCCTGATAACGCTTTGAGGAGGGAGAGACAACGGCCGTCAGGACGCCTGAGCTGCCCCGTGCCCTGGCTGCCATCCCTCACCGTCCCCTTCTGGTCATCCCTTCGAGCACGGGGCTGGAGGCACGGGGGCCGTTCCAGGGGTGCCAAGGGGTACCCCCGCCATGGCCTAAGCCTCACCCGGCTGACGCAGAGGGAAGGGCGCGATGACGAGGGGACGTAGGTGCGGTACAACGCAGGTGCGGCAGCGGGACGCGGACTCTTCAAGGGAGATGCTCTGGGGTTGAGGACCAAGGGGAGGGCGATGGCGTGGGCCAAGGACCGGCATCCCTGGAAAGGGCAGACACTCCCGGGCCCGGTCACTCGGGATGAGTCACGCAGATGGTGTCACCTCTCCGGTGAGCCC